CCATTTATAAGTATAATAAATTAATTTATTATTAAAAAAAAGAACTCTTATAGAAATTGATTTTTTTTTTCTCCTCCTTGATTAGATCATAAACTAATAAATGATTCTATGAAGAGTTCTTCAACACGATCTCGTCTTTTTATATATATATATAAACGTGTGTACGTGTGTGTGTGTATTTATATATTTTTTCCAATTATTTTATATTATTATTATTAGAGTAAAAGGCTTAATAAAAGCACCAATATCGACTTTATACTATAGAAAAACTTGGTGCTCTACAAGAATCATGCGTGTAAGAATAGTATGTATGTATGTATGGATGTATATATATATATATATATCTGGGATTCGGAAAAAAATGTAAACATCTTCGATTCATTAAATCTAAATTCTACTTATTAAAGGATGATGATGATGATGATAATGATGATGATGATGATAATTAAGGATTGCTTTCTTCGTCCGTTGCTTCCTGTCTCTCGTGGGCTCTCTCGCTACATAGTTTTTGAGCAGCTGTTGTGGCCAGCACGTCTATAACTGCGTATTGCACCATCCCATATTTTGGTATCTCTCCCGATGTTTCCTGATCTTCCACGTTGACTTGAAGATAATTCAATTCTTTATCGTCTTTGGGGAAAACAAAGTGATGCTGACTAGAGGGTGAACATACGCATTCTAAATTACCCGGTGAAGAACTTACGTAACCGGGAGAAGGTGAATTAGTCTTACAACTAGTACCTTCTTTAACGTCTACGACTTCTTGTGCCTCGCAATTTGGGCATGTTTTATCGTGTGTGGCAAAGACAAACTGTCCCGTGTCGTGTAGTGTTAATCTATCCACCATGTGATATTCTTTCCCGGATCTTGGCCTCAGGGCGCTAGTACAAAATACTGGTCCTTTCGTGCCGAATACGTCGGCGGCCCTCATGTAATCACTACTTCCACTGCTACTACTACTTCTAGAACAGAGTGAGAGTGTTTCGATGTAATCACTGATATCCGAAGAAGAACTGCTGCTGGCTGTCGCTCCGGTATCCAATAATAGAAAGTGTTCCGGAGACGTGAGAAAGTGATGACATCTTCGACACTCTAAAAAAAAAAAGAAATAAAAGAAAACAAAGAAAAATGGCGATGATTTTTGAATTAAAACTTTTAAAACTAGCTTAAAATATTTACCTGTTACCAGTAAAGCTTTAGAGGTACCTTCTAATCCCTTTGCCTGAACGTGGCAACAAGATTGCTGTATCTGATCCGCATTACCAGATGATAATTTTAAATCAGTAGATACGACGTTACTTTCGTCGTTAGAATACTTATTATCGTCACCCGTGACTTCTACGCGTCTAGATAATGTTGTGGATATTCCAGAATCACAAGAATTCGATTTAATTTTAGTATTGGGTTTACAGGGTGCACTAGAAGATCTCTTTATAACGGCTCTCCCGTCGGTATCTCTAGAATGATAATTGTCGTGATCTATCGTAAGATCCTCTTCGGATACCGAAAAGTTTTCTTTTAATTGAACACAATCTGCTGATTTATGGAACGGATATTTATGTAATGTTTCAAGGAACATATTGTTTGGTGTGGATGGAACTGAAGACGGAGGAGATATTTCGTCGGTACTGAACGATTTTTCTTTCGATCTTAAAGTTAATTTGGACAATAACGTGTGCTTTTTTACAGGTGTTAATTTAGGGCTACCCATTATTTGGAAATTACTTTCGTCTACCGAAGATGATCCTTCTGTTTTTTCATTGGAGTCTTTGGATTTTAATAACACTTTTTTCTTTAAATCTCCTAAAGAATTCGATCTGACTGATCTTCCTTGGATCTCTTCTGTAATTTCTATATCTTCTGTCTCCGATTCTTCACCCGATTTCTTCTTCTGACACGGCAACAAAAACGGCATAAAAGGTCTTAAAGGTAGAGATTCGGTATTATTTTTCGCATCGACATTGGCTTCCGAATCCGATTTCGATTCCTCTTTAGAGATTTCGGTTTTACTGGAAGATTCCCAATACACCGGTTGCATTTCTAAGTAATTATCATCGTCTTTTTCGCTAGACGAATAAGACATTATCTCGTAAATATTTGCAACGTTCCTTTTCGTCTCTCCTTTACTTCTAGCTATTCTGCATCCCGGGCAATGCCAATTACCTCGGGAATCTTTATACAATGGTAGAGTTTTCGAGATCAGTTTATTTGGCTCCTTCTGATTATCATTCTTACTCGGAGTTACGATGCAGCACACGTTTTCGTACAACCTCAGAGCCTCGATGAACCTCATATTAGCGTAATCCGGATTAGAAGTTCTTCCTTCGTCTTCCTTGCGCACGTTAGTGCAAGCGTGGCAAGTATTTTTGATGTTACTACGTTGTTTATTAGTTGATTCTGTAACACACGGTAACGATCGATCTAATAAAAGTGGAACAGCTACGAAAGAACCACTCTCCGATGAGTTTTTTTTCCATAACATAATCTTATGGCAATCACACGTATGTGCATTATCTTCCGATTCGGTCCTTCCTTCCAATTTATTTTCCTATTTTTTAATAAAAAGATTTGAAATTTTAAAAGAATATAATGTTTTAATAAAATTATTATCGCATTTATTCTACCTTTAGCTTTTTTGGAATGTCGTAATCTTCACCAGCTGTGGATATTCTTCTACTCTGGTTGGCATCTGATAATTCCGAAAAATTATCCTAAAAATATATGATTAGAAGGATAATAAAGATTTGAATGGAAAAAGGAATTCGCTTTATATTAAAGACGTAATTAAATTTATTTACGTACTCTCCAGTTAGTTCGACACAAGACATTTTTGGGAACGGCATAGTGAAGATAAGGATTTATCCTACATGTACAGGAAGGTAGATCTTCTTTATGTGTTGGCTTTTTAGGTGAGGGTGATCTACTTTGACCTTTAGCATCTGTCACGTTCTCGGATACCCTTAATACAGATACAGGCAATGTGCTCCAGCAAGAACATATGACGGGTAATCGTTCTCCACTACATCTTTGACAAACACATTCTCCAGCACTTTGGTGTACTTTAGTTGGACTTTTTGGTGGCGTCGTACCAGAATGGTGCATGGTACGAGGACGGTCGTAAAATCCGTCAGCTGACGACCTAGGAACAGAGTAATCGGAGGAAGCGGTACCACTACTACTGCTACTAGTGGCACTGCTCTGAGAACACATTGATGATCTGTCCTTAGGCGGATTTCTGGGATGCTGTGATTGCGTTAAGACGGCTAAGTCCATCGTCCACTTCGGAGTAAATCCTTCATTATCAGTAGCTCTCTCACTAATTGGCATACCGTCTCTCCTGTAATACTGTCTACCACACTTTGAGCAATGACATAATGACCTGCTAACATAGTTAAATCTGTAAATCTAACCTTCTTGTTATACTACTTGTTCGACGAATTACAAAGAAAATTACTAACCTGCCGAAAATTGAATATCTCTGAGTAGGCAGATGGAAGTTGTGTAAAGTTAGAGACACTTCATCATTTTCTCCACTTTGCGATTCTGATCCCATCCATCTATAATGTTCGCTGCAAGGGGCTCGAGGCATATACGTGTCTTCTTTCTTCTCGCTTGACAAATGCACCGAACATGCATCGCAGTTATCTTTGTTTTGAACTCTATTTGTTGAACTTTCGGTATTCTTATAATACTTGGGATGACTCGAACCGCAAGTAGAACTTTCCATTACTGCAAATTAATATTTAATGATGTTTAACCAATTAAAATGAAAATTTAATTTGCTCATCTAACTTACCGGAATGCTTTCTTAAAGGTAGCTTTCTTTTTCTTAATAACTTTCCTTTCGATGCTAGTTCGAAAGCTTGTGCCAATTCCTCCGCTTGATTTGTTAGTAATACGTGAACCCCTTCTCCTTTAATAAGGTTACAATAATTAAAATTTTAGCTAATGAAGTTTTATTGATAAGAAAACACATCGTTTACCTTTCCCGCATCGTGATCCTCCTTCGAAACAAAATTTCCCATCCACCACTCCAAATCTTCTTAATTCTTTGATGGGCCATGTACCTAATAATCTGGGTGGTACATTAGATGTTAAACAGAAAGCGTAATCTTGAAGATGAAGTCTTGCTGGACCACACGCTATTTTACTTTTCACTGGTACATGGCTCACTTGCACTAAGAATTGTTGATCTAGAAGATTTGTAAAGTAATTTTTTTACATCTTAATATAATTAATTCAATTTTTAAATGGTTGTTTTAAAGGTTACTTTTCTCTATCTTGAGATTAATTACACAGAAAATCAACAAAAGAATTTAAAATTATTACAGAAATTAAATAAAAACTAACCTTAGATTAATTTTAAATAAACTTTTTGTTAAATACACGTAACATTAATAAAAAAAAACCTTCTATATATCAGTTATCGTCAAATTCTAAATTGATTTCTTTTTTTTTATGTGGACAGTAAGAACAAATGCAAACATACAAAAAAAATTATTAAAGTAGAGAGGATAAAATAAGCCAAAATGTAGAAAGAAAAACTAAATTAACCCTACAGAGAAATTAATTACGATTAGAAACCAAGATAGAAGAGAAAAAAAAGAAGCAGTTCTTGACAAGAAAGAAATTCTGACCCCTGAGAGATCGTCTTTTCTGTGAGGCTTCTGTGCATAAAGAAGAAGAAGCTTTGACAGGAATGAAAGTTAATGAAGACATATTATGCTTGTTACTAAAGTGCAAAACCATGAGTTGAAGTTGAGGTTTTTACATTCCATCAGATGCCTTTGCTGATTATATTTTTGTTAAATTATCAACAGAGAAAGAGAGAGAGAGAGAGAGAGAGAGGTTGAGCAGTCAACTGCGACATCACTTAATTGACCAACGTTGGTGAATTTTTCTCTTCGGTATCATTTCTCTAGAGGATTTCTAACTTCAATTTCGTTTTTTCTTGTCAGCGAAGAGATGAATATTGGTAAAAACCAGACACTAATTTATATTTAACTGTTCGTTTTTACTTTTCGATTGTAAAAAGTTTAATTAGTTAGATAATAAAAAAAGTATATATATATATATATTCTGAAGCGATTTCAATTAATAAATTTGTGTGTGTGTGTGTGAGAGAGAGAGAGAGAGAGAGAGAAAGAGAGGAGAGAGAGTCTGGATATCTGAAAAAAATAGAAAAAAATGAATATCATACCTTCAACTAAATTAGAGCGAATTTTAACTTGCCATTGTATCAACAGCTCTCTAGAATCAAACGCAAGAATAACAACAACTTCAGAGCAAATGAGAGCCATGGTGTTACTTTCTTTATCCAAGGTAAACCCAGTTTCCATCCCCAAAAAACCTTCCAGAGATAAAGATGCTTTAGTGGGTCCATTTTTACATTTGTCTTTACTATCACGATAAAGTTGAAGATGGAGACAATCTGAAAGAAAAAATAAAATAAAATAAAAATAAAACAATTAGAAATATATATATATATATATATTTAAATAAATAAAAATAAAATAAAATTTCTAGAGTTAAGTTAAAATTTAAATTTTCTTCTTTAAGCTTTTGCCAGTCGCATTTTACCAACGCAATTGAATACGGCCATTCATCACTGACAATAAATCCCTGGGGGGCGAAAAGGTACAAAACACACTTGGACCTTATGTTGGATTTACCACATTGACATGATTTATCTAAATTATCCCCTGAGGGGATGCCCGGATAGGGGGTATGATCGGGCTCTTTAAGTGACACTAGCTTCTTCTCTGTTTTATTTTAACATGAATGATGCTGTTGAAAGAACTCTAGAGAGGAAATTGTTTATAATACGAGAGAGAGTTTCTTCTCTAACAATATAGTCCCCAACTTCTAGTTTTATTACAGTACGTTAGATAATGGATAAGAAACAAAGTAAACCACCAATAATACATAAATGAAAGATCGTAAACTTTAAATCATTTATTTTATTTTATTTTCTAGATAATTCAAGGAAATCATTACGATACTTTTACGTAAAACAATTGTTTTGTTTTTTTTTATTATCGAATAAATATTTAATCATTTAAACTCTTTACTTTATTATTATAAAATCTTAAATAATAATAAAATAAAGAATTGATTTTATTGATAATATATACAGAGCCAATTGTATTTTAATGTATTTTCTTTAGTCGTCATTTCTTAGTATTCAGGTCAACATCACCATCTGAATTGATGGAGGTTTCGATTCCAAAAGTCCAATTGTTGTTTCTACTAAGTGCGTTTACCGGGTCTTTCTTTTTTGAAGTCAATGATCCCAGGTTCGATTCCTACCTCTGCACTCGTTCACTTATGCCAAACATGTTGTGTGATCTGGCTTACTGCCAATACAATAGTAACAGCGTTAAAGTTTCCAATAGTCATTTTCTTAAATTAAACAAAAAGAAAATAAAATATATATATTTATCGCTACGATACTTTGATATATGTTTAATTTATCGATTTATGTAAAAGAAAAACAAGAAGAAACCTCCAAAAAAACGTGCTTTGTTTATTATTACGTAAGAACAAATCATTCAATTGAATTTGTTGCTATAGCAGCAAACTGTCCTCGTCGAGATAGATTTTTAAAGAAACCCGATAAGAAAATAACGAAAAAAAAAAATATAAAAAATAAGCACTATTGAACAAAATTTAATACAACATATCAAATAAAATATTAAATCTTAAGAATTATTATTTTATCCTCTTTGTCAGTTTTCATTATTGTTCAAAATGGGGGAGGGGTAAGAGTAAAAAAATAAAAAGAAAAAAAATCTATTCTCATTTAATATTTCATTTGATATATTGTATTAAATTTTGTTCAATAATATAAAAATCTTTCTTTGTTGTAAATCTTTTAGAAAACATGTCAAAAAGTAACTTATTGACATCAATAGTTGATGGGAAAAAAGTGACAGCTTCACAGTTTCAGCACCTAAAGTAATCTATAGCTTTTTTTTATATATATAATAGCCAAGAAACTGTGTAAGATTTAGATAATACAAATTGATGTAGTGACGAATATTGGTTGTTAGAGTAAAAATGATAAGAATATACAACCAAACGTGTTAGCACTTCTGTAGATTAGTCTATCCCCATTTCCTGACGCTTACCTTTTATCTCCTGTCTTTTTAATCCCGTAGCCGAAGGTAATGCTCTAGATTTATTTTACCTACAAGGTATGCTCCCGGAGTATATAAAACAACTCTGCTTCATTTATTAAACTTGAAAATTTCCTTGATTTTTTTTCCTTTCATATTTAAATTCGTTTTCTAACCAACCAAAAAAAAAAACACGTGTCTAAGACTTATTCCTCCATCATTTATAACTGTTCTTCTTCTTATTCTTTTGCTAATATTTTAACATTGACTAAGGAAAATATTAAAACTGTATGTAAATATGTCTCTAAAAATAGATTAGAAATGATTTTTATTCTTGTGTAAAACGTTAAAATAAATCGTTTCTATATTTATTTGTAAACTGAGTTTAGAATAAGTTGACTTTTGGGTATGAATATTCTTTTAATTTATAGAAGAGACGTGTTAAAAATTTATTTTACATAATAATTACACGTTATTTAAATATTTTTATGTGAAAATTTATAACGAATTAAGGGAGGAAATGTCGATTTTTTTTCTTCTTTTAATGGAAGAAAGACGTCAAAAAAAAAATTATTAATTTTTCGTAATTAATAACGTTCTATTTATTAATTATTCAGCAGAAATGTGAAGAAAAGTTAGAAGAAAATCGTATTAATAGTGTTATTTTAAGAAATAAATATTAAAAAAAATTAATATTTTCTGTAGATTAACCACTCAAAGTTATGAAGCTAAATGATCTTTAAAATCAATCAAAGATGCTTTCGGAGCAGGAGGAAAAAAATTAGCATTTATTTAAATTATTTAATGAAAAATTTCCTGATATAAATGTTATTGATTAGAGATTTATTAACACCTTAAACGGGTCTGTAGATATATTAAAAGAAAGGGAAAAAAAGAGGGAATTGATATACAAGTGCAATTGCGAGATGGAAGCAGAAAAATTAATGCCTTGTCCTATGTAAAAAAATATATTATCAACACTTCTTATCAGATATATGATAAGTGTATTAATCAACTTTTCGGACCCGAGTATCTTTTCACACTTTAGTTGCTTAGCAACAGTTGCTAAGATACCGCACATTGACGTATAAGCAAAGCAATATGAAGATGAATAGCACTTAGGGCAATGCTTTGAAGTTCAAAGTTAAGAATGAGGAAAAAACTATCCCCAGAGAATAAGAAGTGATTTATATCTTTAGGGTGGTGTTTGGAAGAGGAAATTTTACGCTTATTACCTTTTCAGTCATCATTTATGACCAACAAAGTCACTTGTCACCCATAATGACTTTACCTCATAAATACCCTGTTGTTCAAATAATTTTTTTTCTCCCCCCTTTTACTTTGTCTTTAATGTCCTCCATCTTTACTAGGCAAATATCGTCAATGAAACCGGGATAAACTAATGATAGAGTCGAAATACCCTTATACATTCAACGTAGAAAGCTTCAATTGCTGTACAGATTTTTCGGGGAATTTTCCCTGTAAACGTAAAGAAAACGAGTTTTTTCCCTTGAAATTTTCTTAAATTTAAGGGAAATTTTTTAAAAAATAAGTCTTTGGACTCTGTAATTATAGAAAAATAAATTTTTTTAACTGTAAAACATCATTTTTTTCCAAAAAAAAGGAGTATAGTTATGGATTTTTTCATCCTACGTAAAGAAAAATTCTTTTTTTTTATTACTAATGAGATTATTATTGTATTTTTGTCGGAATAAATTCTAATTATAAGCATGTAAATTTATTTTTAAAAGCTAAAATTTACAGAAAATTTAACAAATTATAAGACAAAACTGATGATTATTATTTTATCTCTCACTTAACTTTGACCAAAACTATGTTTCGTATCCATTACAATAAAATAATCATCGATAAAACGTTTCTTTCACTAAATATATATACCTATATACAGTACTTTTTTTATTCTTTAACAACAGTATCAATGAGAATCGACTCCATTTACGTAATTAGAAAGATTCTTTTGTAAGAAAAATTCTATTTTTCTAAGCGCAATCAATGTAAATGTTTCTGATCTAAATCTGTTTGAATAGAGGATTAGAAAACAAAAAGCTTCTCTTGAATTTAACTTTTTTAAACATTTTATTTTCCTCTTTCTGCTTTATTTTATTGTTTTTCTTCACCCTGCACGTTTCAAAAATAGAAAAAGAATTAAAAATTTTTCATTTACTCAATATACTTATCGAAGAGACAATTTGAAATTCTCACATAAAGTTGGAAAATCTCGTAAAAATCAGATTAAATATATTCTTTTTTTTAAAAAAAGAGATACAAAGGATGATAGTAAATATTAAATGTATAAAGGTATGCGATGATGATGATATATTCACTATTTTATCTCGTATAAATCATCCAGAAGTGTATATAGATGTAGAGAGTGAAGATGCTCATCCTCATCCTCAGCTTCCGAATAACTCGTAAAAACTAAATAATAATATAAAAAAAAAGTGTTGAAGGAGAAAAATGGTTATTTTACTTTTCAGTAAAACTGTAAAATAAAGATTTATTAAGCGTATAATTCTGAAAAATAATTAAAAAAAATACCGTGAAAAATTAGCCAAACTTGAAGTAAAATGATGAAAAATCAATCTCCAAAAACTGTTTTATATATATATATNAAACTGTAAAATAAAGATTTATTAAGCGTATAATTCTGAAAAATAATTAAAAAAAATACCGTGAAAAATTAGCCAAACTTGAAGTAAAATGATGAAAAATCAATCTCCAAAAACTGTTTTATATATATATATATAAACGTGTGTACGTGTGTGTGTGTATTTATATATTTTTTCCAATTATTTTATATTATTATTATTAGAGTAAAAGGCTTAATAAAAGCACCAATATCGACTTTATACTATAGAAAAACTTGGTGCTCTACAAGAATCATGCGTGTAAGAATAGTATGTATGTATGTATGGATGTATATATATATATATATATCTGGGATTCGGAAAAAAATGTAAACATCTTCGATTCATTAAATCTAAATTCTACTTATTAAAGGATGATGATGATGATGATAATGATGATGATGATGATAATTAAGGATTGCTTTCTTCGTCCGTTGCTTCCTGTCTCTCGTGGGCTCTCTCGCTACATAGTTTTTGAGCAGCTGTTGTGGCCAGCACGTCTATAACTGCGTATTGCACCATCCCATATTTTGGTATCTCTCCCGATGTTTCCTGATCTTCCACGTTGACTTGAAGATAATTCAATTCTTTATCGTCTTTGGGGAAAACAAAGTGATGCTGACTAGAGGGTGAACATACGCATTCTAAATTACCCGGTGAAGAACTTACGTAACCGGGAGAAGGTGAATTAGTCTTACAACTAGTACCTTCTTTAACGTCTACGACTTCTTGTGCCTCGCAATTTGGGCATGTTTTATCGTGTGTGGCAAAGACAAACTGTCCCGTGTCGTGTAGTGTTAATCTATCCACCATGTGATATTCTTTCCCGGATCTTG